CTTTAGAGAGGAAGAGTGGAAAGACCTCTTTATAAGCATCATCAGTCACAGGTCTTTTCCACAGTATGTCATGGACAGAAGTCATGTCACAAATGAGGTTTAATTTCAATCTTAAGACGTAGCTTGAGATGTAAAATCAGAGCAGAACCACTCAAAGTGGCACAGCCGGCATCTCAGGCTGGTGCAAAGTAATTCAGGTGCTGGTCATATATAAAAGGCCACACACCAGTGGTGTATGATGATGGTGTGGGATATATATCACAACAAAGCAGGCAAGCAGCAATTTCAACTAAATTTCTCTCAGACTGGTACATTACTGCTCCGGTAGACCCACAAGTCAGTCTTTACATGCTTTGCTTAACTAAAGACTGATGTCTTTCTCCCTGATTTTGTGTTTAGACGGGCGGATACAATTTCAGAGTTTAAAAAAACTCCCTACGTTGCAGAGCCAATAGTAAATCCGCGGGGCGGTCCTTCGGTGGCTCGCTGAACTCTTGTGCTCGTAAACATAGTCCAACTGCATTAAAAGTTTTAAACAAAGTCGCTGTAAGTCCTTCATTTCCACAGTCTTGTGGACTGAGCACACGTTTGATAAAACAGAGTTAAATCTCTCGGCATCCATTTTCAAGCTCTCTGTGTGTTTGTGTTCTTGCAGACGAGAAAAAGGGGAGCGCACATTTCCGAGAGGGCGTGTCCTTTTCAAAAATGCAAGAGGCGTTGCTTTGTTGCCGGCTGTTTACGCCGGTGTGTTAAACACACTTTAGAAAGGAGTGTCCCCAGACTATCAGAAGGCGGAGATCTCTGATTGTCTGGTGGCGAGACTACTGCTCCGGTACCTCGACTTCCTCCTCTGTGTGTGATGCACGTCAGGTGGGTGGTGCAGCTTCTACTGACAGGATTCAGATGCAGCCCAGGACCCAGAGGAATTAGAGCTCTGATTATCTGCCCGGCCCAGGCTGTGATATCTATATTTCCTTGAGCTTTTTTTTTTTTAAAAAAATGTATTTTATTTTTCAATGAAACTGGCGATTCTTGTGCGTAAAAGAGTTCTAATGGAGTGGATCAAGAAGAACAACTGAGCATAACAGTGGAGAGCTGGGGGACAAATTCCTTGGGACGTGCAGCTGACTGGGCCGTGATCTGTTCTCACTCCCTTCGTGCACTTGACAGCAAACAATGCCGGATGAAGCTGAATATAAGTGCTATATCGTAGGCAACTGGACTTGCTTGTGTTTCTTGAAGACGCTTCTCCTCTCATCTAAGAAGCTTCTTCAGGTGATCAGGTGATTACCATGACCTGGATGAGTGAGAATCTTCACTGAGATGAAGCTGAAATTTGGTCCGACTCTAAAAGGAGTCATGAGGCTCAAAAATTGGGTTCAAATCATACAGTGCACGCCCACTTTAACCTTATCCAAGCACAGATAATATAGAAAGACATACATTTAAAAATGTTAACATGTTCACTGTTAACTGCTGTGTGATTGGGCTAGTGTGTGTTGCACTTTACTGTTTGATACCAGAAGTGAGCTGGAACCAAATCTGCTCACTGATCAAATATAAACCCACAGTACTGATACTGCATCAAGGCTACAGTACATCCCTGATACATAAATCCTCAGACTAAAATCTAAATGTATAAATCTGGACAGAGATTGGATATACACTATTTCAGGACAAGCTGTTTCTCAAGCAACAAACAACCACAAACATCAAAATCTCCTGGATGATACGAGCCACGCAGTCCAAATATAGAACGCTGGGATGATAAGAGAAGAGTGGAGCTGTCAGGAGGAAAAATGGTCCACAGCCGAAATGATCTCTCAAGGCGCTGCGGCTGCAACGGCACTCAGAGCTGCTCGGGGAGGAGGGAGCAGAGGATGGAGTCGTGACCTCCACGCTTTTCGGGTGACAGCTCAGAGGAAAGTAAAGAGCAAGGAGACTCCAGTGGAGTTTCAAGGAGAGGATGAGCAAGCTTCAAAATATGTTTGGACCTGTGTCCTCTGGGCCTCTCTGATCAAAGTCTGGCAGAGTATCGGTTTCTGAGCTTTGAGGAGGGCGCTCGGGAGGAGCATCACAAGAAAAAAGGAAACACAACAGGGCAAAGTACAACGGCTTCCGAAACACACAAATGGGCCACAGGCAAGGCAGACAAACCAGGCTGATTGATTTTCCAGCTTTCTGCAGCGTTGCCCTTCCAGCTGCAGTTCACAGGGTAAAAACCAAACATGTGCAAAAAGTAACTAAGAAAAACAACTTTTATTTTCTCCCTGAAGCTTTTTATCTGTTCTTGGAAACATAAATCCATCAGAGTTTAAAGAGGTTAAAGGGTCACGGACCAGGGGTCAGTTCAATAAGAATAACATTAATTTTGTTTTCAGGAGCAGCAGTGGTACACCTCATGACTCATCAACATCTATACACCAACACAAGGCTCTCATGAATATCTAATCAACAGTGCAGAGCTCGACATGTAATTATAATTTGTCTTTCCTTTTACATTTTTTTAATACAGAAGTTAAGGTGGTTAAAGTTAAAGGGATAGTTTGGATCTTTTGCAGTGGGGTTGTATGAAGTACTTAACCATATTCAGTGTATAACCTACAGTAGATGTCTGAGAGCACGCCCCCAGTTTGGAGAAGCAGGCTGGAGTCCTACACGGAAGCTAAGCGATGAGCTGCACCGCTCGACAGGGTCAGCGACAAAACATATTTTCGCCACATGAAAACAATCATGATCATTTTCAGTGAACTCTGTATTCAGAATATGTTTACCGCTTTACCTTGCTGTCAGACAGCCTTTTCTGACGGGGAATTGAAGCCATTATCTCAAATATCTCACCAGACCCTATTAACATAAACAGTAATTTTACTTTGCTGAACACTGGAGTTGCTGGTCGACCGCAGCCCTGGGGTCCGTTTCACAAAGCAGGTTTAGTGAAAACTCAGAGTCTGTTAACCCTGAAATGAGGGAAACTCTGAGTTTTCCGTTTCAAAAAGGGAGGTAACTCAACCCAGAGAAAGAGGGGTAACTCTAGCCTGTTTCAGAGAGAGAGGTAACTTAAGCTCTCGGTCAGTTACCGTAGTAACAGACTCTATGAACCTAACCTGGTCGGGACCAGGTTTTTCTCAATGAACCTCGAGTGTCTCTGTCTCCGCCCTCTTTCAGAGCCACACACTCCATTTGATTTCCTCATTCATTCAGTCAGCAGGCGAGTTTTGGCGTAACCTAGTTCTGCCGTCTGTCATTTAAAAAAATCATTTAAAAAAAATCAGAGTCAGTATATTAGAAGTCCATTAGGCACAGTAGGTGGCGACTTTTTTCACTAACATGGCATGTCCTTTTGATAACGATCCCGTGGATGAAGGTGCAGCATTACTGCGCAGAGAATTAAATATTCGTCAGGAGATGGTTATCAGACCACGCATAGATGTTCTAGCATTTCCACACAATTATCTTTTTGAGCGGTACCGTTTCTCGTTACAGTCCATCATCTACATACACAACCTAATCCGTGCTTACATTTGCAACATTACCAATCGTAGTCATGCTCTCACATCCCAGCAGATATTGTGTGTTGCGCTCATAGACTGTATAAAAATGCACTGTGTTTCTTTGCAAATGGAAGTTTTTTGTACAATGTCGGAGACGCTGAGCACTTGAGTAAGGCAACTGTACATGTATGCAGGGCGGTCAGAAAAGTGTGCTCGTTTTATGGGCATCTGCCTTCTTTCTGTTGGCTGAGTAGAAGTCTGTGTTAGTTTAAATAGGCTTAATTATTTAACAGAACATGATATAGATGAGAAGACATTTATGTGTGTGAAAACAGCATTATGTTGGGGATAAGACAACTGCACAGTCAAACAGCCACTTAATATTTACTTTACAATGTAAAACATTATCAAAATGAAGCACCCCCATGAGATTATGCCGAGGTCTTACCTGTTTGAACAATGTTTATATATTTCATCCTAAACTGCTGCCAAGTGCGCTTCTCCCCTGCGGGATTGCACCTAAATGAAATAAATTAATAGGCTACCATTCAAGCAGTTTTCCCCTGTAATATTATTGTGATTGCAAAGAACTACATTTAAACTTAATCACTGACCCGAGCATCAATGTTCTCTTACGCCGTCTCCCTCTCTTTTGCAGCTGCAGCGGTGTTGCACTTCTTTTTGAAAACGTGTTCAAACTCGCAGTATGAGCACATTAAGATTTCTTATTCTAGTGGGGTGAAAAACGCAGTCCTCCTCTTCCCCGTTGCCATGGTGACTCGTCGAATCGGGGCTCCATTGATGCTGGCTTTTTATAGTTGTGGTGCACGTACTTAACTCCAGGTGAAGCTACTCTGAGTTGATTAAACTGATTCAAATCAGCTGTTCTGGAACCGGAAACTCAGAGTTTCCTATCTCAGAGTAGATCAACACAGAGTTCAGGATTAGACTCAGAGTTTGTTGAACCTGCTTTGTGAAACGGACCCCTGATTGCTCAGTGTGTAAGCTAATGCAGAATAAATATTCAAATGTAGCGTATACTTGGAGTGATTATGATTTTTCTGGTTGACTAAAATATGTTTTGCTGCAGCCCTGTCCTCAGCAGGACATTGTTTAGCTTGTGTACCTTTGGATTTGGTTCATCGAAGACGCTAGCAGAGCAACAAAGGACATAAAATAAGCCCAGCAGAAATGTCAGATGGGTCAGACCTCCTGCTGCTTCTCCAAACTGGGGCTGTGTTGACAGACATCTACTGTAGGTTATACACTGACTACAGTTTAGTACTTCATACAAGCACAATTCAAAAGATCTGAACTCTCCCTTTAAAGTCGCCATAAACCACAAAGCCCCAGTTCATATCTGGCAGTGGACTTTTGTTGCATGTCATTCCTCGTCTGTCTCTCCCCTTTTGTTCTGCCATCTTTTTATCATTGGTCGTCTAATGAAGGCAAAAAAATGCCCTAAAATATTTTAAAAGTTTTCAGTGAAAAGAGCAACTTCAAATGCTATTTTAGTGTCGACCAAAATGTGACTGTTGACCCACTGTTTAAAACTGTCCACAAGTTTTTGTCCAAGTTGTTCATCAGAACGACAATTAATAGAAATCTTTCACATTTTATTTTGAATTTAATACAAAATCCTCATTTATTGTCTGGTATTCAAAAGCTCTGGTTGCATTTTAGGATATTTTTCCAAACAATAAATCACTATACATGTGACATATATCAGGTTTAAGAGGTGTCAGGGTGGGAATTTAGCGGAAGCTTGACTCTTTCAGTGAGCTGAGACAGGAAACACAAAGTTATCTAAAGGGTCAGTGAAAGCCTTGCTGATTTGTAACACTGCTGAAATAGCTGGTATTTTCTCTACAACTCAGTAGTTTCACAGTGTTACCTCCATTAGAGATTTAGTTGATGTGTCACTTAATTTTGACAGATTTTGGGGGCAGAGGGTCTGACTCAGTGTTTTTACCCCTATAAAGGTCTGAGGAGGCAGATTCGTTGCTTAATACAACCATTTCAAGTCGACAGTCATCTGCATCTTTTACTTGAAGGGCCTCAGGACCAATGCATCCTTAGTGGTCAGTGTTATTTCCTAAAGTCTTACACCAGTGGGGGGACATCAGGGTCGTCCACAAACCCGTCAGAGAAGGTTTTTGCAGGTGGAGCCAGCCGGGATGTTTCAAGAGGACCTTCTTTGACGTCCCGGCGTGGTACAATGTTGGCCAGGTCGATGGCTGAGTGCTTGCTGGGGTCCACCTCCAGCCTCTCAGGAACACTGTTTCTCCTGTGAAAACATCAGGAAATGAAATAAGTCAGAGACAATATCACTCTCCTCTTCTTGTATGGCTTAAGTCGGCAAAACAAGTCTCTGAAAATAATCAGTGAGGTCATCATTAGTCTAAACAGGGACGCTGTGGAGTTTATCACTGTGCACTGATTATGGTCACTTCCCAAAACAAAAAAAAGGAGAGTTTTAAAATTCTCATCAGTTTAACCCAGGTTGGGAATTAAGTGGTAAAACAGCCTACAGCCTCAGTGTTGTTGCTATGGCTACCTGTAGTTTTAAGGTACACTGAATGGGTTTTGAGCACTAGTGGTGCTACGGTGAAACGTTTGATGAGCAGATGTTTGTTCTGTGTGTGTTACGCATGTTTGATGAGAGTCACAATTTTATGATGAGAAACACTGAATGTAAAGAGTTTATTTCACAGACAAAATAATAATTATAATAATCATTTTAAAATCTTCATCAACAGTCATCTGTCTACTGATTAGCACCTTAAAGGATAACTTCAGTATTTTTCAACCTGGGCCCTATTTCCCCATGTGTATGTGTGCGTATGATTCATAGGTACAACTCGTTCTAAAACTGGTTCAGTATTGAGGGAGGCGGATGAGAGTTTTACTGCATCGATTGAAAACAATGGTTTGTGTTTGTGCTTATCCGAATTGCAAGAACAGGATGTCGCACAACACCCCGTACAGCTTTCACAGGCTGCCTTTGTCGGACGGCGAGATGCTGAAGTTGTGGCTAGTTGTGCTACAAATGGATGCTAACACTCCTGTCCAGACACTGCGCCTTGCAGACCATCAGGTCTACAGTACTCACTTCTCCCAAGGTGACTACTGCCAGCCAAAGAAGAGAAGACATCCAATCCCGAAACACCTCTTCCTCAAGAAAACGGCTGTCCCGCGAGTAGAGAGAGCTACAGACACAGTGGAGCAAAGCTCTCGCAAGATGACGTCACACAGCCCAAAGGTAAGGGAAACGCTTACTATGCTATTTACAGAGATAGCACTGGCGATCTGAACCGGTCAGTGGCGAAAAAAAGCACTTTTAAGGCACAAACTTATACAGGACGCATTCGCCCCCGTTACCGTTTTAGCTCATTTCGCGGCTGCCGGCTGCATCCGCCTCCCTCAATACTGAACCAATTTTAGAACGAGTTGTACCTATGAATCATACGCACACACACACATGGGGAAATAGGGCCCAGGTTGAAAAATACCAAAGTTATCCTTTAAGATACATTTGAGAGTCCTGGTAACTAAGTACATCCTGTAAGTACTGTTCTGTACAAGTATTGTACCGCACTACATTTATTGACTTCTTTAGTAACTTTTCAGATTCTAATAATTAATACACAACGTAAATCAACTAATAAATGGTAAATGAATAAAATATCTGAGTGCTTTCTTCCTCCTTTGAAGATGTGCTACTTCTTCCAAAATCTAGAATGAACTTTGACGCTCCATGAATCTGTTTGTTTACAAGAAAACACTATGAGCTCTGATTTAGAGCAGAGAGTGGCCTGGTGCTGTACTGATACGAGCAGTTTCAGTGGCCTTGCTAAACAAATCAAATCTGAACATGAGCCATGTCCTGCATGAACCCATTTAATTCCCCACAGGAATACTAAATCTGTTACTAGTTACTGTCTATCTGACCTAATTTAATTAACACATGATAATCATTGTGGGGACACAGAGGTCATGGTTAAACAGATGCCAAATGAGAATGACTTTAATGTCACAGCAGGAGAAGTTGTTTGTAAACGTCATGGTAATGTTGGTGCAGAGACATCAAGATTTAATGTGACTGTAAAAGGTCAATATGGGACCTGATGTATGTGTGAAAAATATGGTTTGACGGCACAGCGCAGGATGTGCAGACTATAAATATGACTGTACATATCTGCATTCTAGTTTAGGTGTTATATTACATAAAGCCTCATACCTATGTACAGTATATCAGGCTCCTGTCGAGCTGTGAAAAACAAATTACCAGATGTCTTAGACAGTATGTTTGTTATCTCAGAGGGACATGAATCCTCTTTGGGATTCTGTTTGTCATGTCATGAATATCTGATGAGAGCACACTGCAAAAAGATGCTGATCTTGATTTGTTTCATGTTAAAGTTTTTACAAGATCAGAGAAAACTGCCACTTTGGGTCGTGCATTAAATAATACATAATCTTGTTTACTAATTCTTTGATTAGATATAATAATATTCCAGTTTTCAGCTTACAAAACTAGACAGGAGGTCTGCGTTACCGCAACGTGTGGTTACATTTCCGGGAAGGAGCACGTCAGGCTGTGGCGTACGTTAAAGTGTAGGGTCTGTGTCTTGGTTTTATTTTGAATTTTTTACATGTTTCTTTCCGCTGCTTTAATAATTATAACATGTAACTTGTAACTGATGGTGTTGTAGGTTCAAATACTGATCAGCCTTGTTATGTAATGACTTACATGTGTCGAAGAACCCATTGAATCAAAACAACCAATGCCCTTTCACTATTGATGTTTTCTCACTCTGTCTTCAAATGGATTTAAAGACAGAGTGAGAAAACATCAATAGTGAAAGGGCATTGGTTGTTTTGATGTTTTCTCAAATGGATTTAAAGACAGAGTGAGAAAACATCAAAACAACCAATGCCCTTTCACTATTGATGTTTTCTCACTCTGTCTTTAAATCCATCTGACTCCTAAACACAACCAAAAGAACTCTCTTGAGACAGACGAGTCAAAAGATCTCATCGTTTGAATTTTCCATCAATTGTTTAACAATAACAAGACATTAGAAGCTGAGATGAACGGACGTGTTTTGCAGTTCAGTGTGACGTGTCCCAACATCCATACATCCATCTCCAGGGGGATGATGGTCAATTTTACCACCACAATCTGTTACTATTAAACCAAATGGATCCCACTCCTCCTCTGAGCTCATCACTTCCATCCCACAACAATCAAGTCATTCCAATAACTAATTAATCAGTTTATAACAGTGAAACCACAGGTCCCCCGCCGCTCAGCCACAGGAGCTGTGAGTGGTGAACGATTTTAAAATCATCTCTGAGGATTTTTCTGATCGCTCTGTGTTTGTGTGTCCTGAGATAAAATCAACTTAACCATGTAAGATATGTGACAGTGATAGACTGGAGGTTTGGCACTTTCACTGTTAGTGTACAGTTGAGAGAGGAGTGAGAGGGGTGTGACTAGAGTTGGTTCGATTTCCAGTGTTGCCATGCTGCTTCACAAGCAAAGCAGCTGAAGCAGCATTTGTCATTTCAACATTTTCTAGCAAATTAAGAAGTAGTCTACATCAGCAACCTGTGCTGATGTGTCACAGCGCTAAGTCCAACATGCATTAATAATAAGCAATATGACAATGTGATGAACATCATATTATGTTTATGAATGGATTAATGGAGCCACTAGTGTCTGACCGGCTGTGAGCTGAGGCCTCATTTACCCTAGGTGCACAACCTAACGCATTGACGGAGTGACGCTGACCGGAAGTCATTCATTCCAATGGAGGTGAAAATGATGGATAGTAACGGACTAGCGCGCAACACAGCAGCGGTTCCTTTGACCATCGGACCGCAGAGGTGTTGGATTTTTTCTACTCGGCGTTGACAACATGGGAGAAATGGAGTGTCACAGTGCCGGAAGTAGGAAATAAATTGCAATCGTAGTTGTAAACAAACAATATCTCATTTATTTATGCAAAAGAAAAATAAGCATAAGATTTTTTTTCCACTATTAAAAGTGATTGTTGACCATAGGTTGATTTCTATGTGGTTGATAATTAATCTATATTTTCGAATTTTGCGCTCATCTCCATAGCCCATAGATGACTTCACTAACAGCTCTCGCCAACAGCACGCTAGCTAGCCACCCGCATCTGGCCAGGTCCGTCAATGACGGAACCTCGCGGTGTTGTTCTGGGGGTGGGAAATGCTCCGTTAAAACAGGAAAAACAGGTTGTGCACCCGGCGTTACACTGCAAGTGATGTGTTCGCGTAGCACTCCCGAAGTGGTCCACAAGTGTAGCGGCAGCACATGTGTATTCACACCAAAACCGAACAGACACGTCGCACAGCGGCCGCTGCTGTCCCGTCAAAACAAAACCACACCCGAACAGTTGGTGGCAGTAGTGCACCATGTTTGCAAATATCATTAAACCTCAAAGAAGTGAGTTTGGACCCAAAGCCCAGGGTGGACAGGTTCACGCGCCAGTGATTATTCCAACGCTTGGAGAATTAATATTTAGCACTACAAATGGGTAAGTACATGAAACAAAGGGCAGATGTCTATGGTGTCCGAGAGAGGTCACAACACATGCAAACTTGTGTTTTTTGTTTTTTGTCATTCGCTTGCGACTCACACAAAAAATTGGCGTTTCTTCTATTTTCGAGCTTGCTCAAGAAAGCAGCTTGCAAAGCAGCTCGCAAAGCTGCTCGCAAAGCTGCTCGCGAAGCAGCGCGACTCGAGCAGCGCGTAGAACAGATGTGGTGTGAATGCTCTAACCTGTTAACATGCTCACCGAAATGAAAATGTGAGTAAACAGCAACCGTTAGGGAGCGCTACACGAACACATCGCCTGCAGTGTAAATGAGGCCTGAGGCTGGTGTTGGCAACATGGAGGGGATCACATTTCAGGAGATGGGAGGGGCAGAGCAGCCCACACGGTGTTTGTTTGAGAAGAGACATGGCCACAAAACTAAAACTGCACCAATATGGCAACAAGAACAACACACAAGAAGTGTCCTAAATAACTGTGAGCGATGCAGCGCTGCTGTTGTGAGCTGAACTTTTGTGTTTCTATTTATATCTGTTGCTGGATTTGAGAGCACCTCAATGGACGAGGATTGGCTGAATCATGAAGTTAAGAAGAGGAATGATCTACAACAGTGGTTTTCAACCATTTCTGCCCAAGGCACGCCAAAAAGTAAGTCAAAATCTCAAGACACACCTGAGATCTGTGCACAACAGCTTCTATA